AAATTAACAGTTAAATTTTATCTTAACTTATCAATCTAGTCTTCAGGAAACAAATTTCCCCTGTGTCTCTGCATATTGGCTTCCTATGCCCAGTGCTGATATTTCTTTATGATTCCAATGTCAACCAATACATAAAAAGAACTTCCCAGCTTGGCCAAAATTCAAGAAGAAATCATGTGAGTGGTCTGGTCTACACTGTAAACATGCAGCTGGATTCAAATACCTGTTTTGCTTTGGCTAGAGCAGAGGTGTTAGTTGAGAGCATATTAATATTATATGCTCCTTAAACTAACCCCATCTACTGGTGTTTAGAATGATGACCCTAAAATATTGGGTAGCTTGGAAATCAAGTAACTGTCTTAACTGTTCAAACTGAAAAAGAGAAGCAACCTTTTCTGTCTTTTAATTTCCTAACGCTCTGAATTAAGTTCTTTTCTCATTATATTTAACATATATCATTCTAATAATTAAAAAAAAGTCACCAAGAAATCAAATATAAGAAAATACAATGTAATATTACCAAATATTTTGACACCTCAGTTTCCTCTTAATTTGGGGATAACAATAAAATGGTTGTGAGGATTAAGTGAGAAATATATATATAAAGCATTTAGAATTCCACAAATATTAGTAAATATTGCTCTTGATTTTTCTCATTTGAAATGTCTTTTGAGATTAAGATATCAATACTTATTATTTCATATTTGTGAGGTTTACAAACCATATATCACTAAAATCTCTAAGGAACTACACAGAATTATATTCTATCAGATAAAAAGCAAAGCTTTTTATTTTTTAACTTTTCCAGATTAACATAAGACATGATGTGCTTAATTGTTAAAATTACACAAGCATTGACTGAACATACACAATTCAGAGTATAAATACATTCAATGTTCTGTACTACACAATGCAAACATAATGATGACGAGGACAAGAACTATCATCTAATGCTATGTTTATAACCAAATTGAACTGAGGAAGAAGTACTCTGCTGGATATGGGTAAAATCTTAAGTGTAAATGAAAAGTTCAGAGGCAAAGTATACATAAAAATGGTAAAAGAATAGATCTGGAGACTCATAGTAGTAAGGATGGAACATCAGCAGGTCAGAAAGAGTGTAGAAAAATATGAAATCGATGCTTGGAAATAGAGTGGAACCGGACTATGCAGGGCTGTGTTAAAAAAAAAAAAAAAAAGAGGGCTGGGGTTGTGGCTCAGCAGTAGAGCGCTCGCCTCACATGCGCGAGATCCTGGGTTCAATCCTCAGCACCACATAAAAATAAATACAATGAAGATATTGTGTCCAACTTACAACTAAAAAATAAATATTAAAAAAAGAAAAAGGCTGAGATTTTGAATTATACATGGTAGACAATGAAAAGTTATTAGAGATTTTTATGGAGCAACATTTGGAAGGAGAGTGCAAAGAGGTAAGAAGTATTTATTTAAAAGACAATTTTTTTCAGTTAATCTAGTTTTTGATCCTATTTCAAACATCTTATTAGTTGTGTGAGAACAAATTACTGAATCTCTTAACCTGTTTTCTTATCTATAAACAGTAGCTACTTCATTGATATTGTAAAGATTAATGATACTTTATGTAATATGGTTTGTACAATGTTTTGCAACTCAATATAACAAGAGACATAATGGATTATTAACTATGTGCCACACACTAAAATCTTTACATGTATTTGTGGGAGACCAACCTTACACGTGAGTGGGTCACACTCCCTGGGTGGGTGCTGAGGCTCTCAGTCGCAGAAATGTGGCACCCTTCTTGGGTGCAAGGGTTGGTGTCTCATGCATGGGGTGTGTTTTGCTACAGCCCCATGGGTGAAGCTATGCTCACCTGTTCCTTTGTAATATAACCCCTTGCCCTATTTAGGATAGAATCTTCCATGGAAGTGCCTTGTGTGTGTCTCCTCCTCTTATTGTGCCCTTGGGTGTGGCCTACCCAGGTGTCAGTTAACCTGCTGACAGTGGACATCATGAAGATACTCAGCCTCCTGAAACCTAACCCCTTGCCTTCTGTGCTCTTGCTGTCTCTCTTTCTGTGGACCCTTAAGGTCAGAAAAGCCTTCACAGCCACCCCAAAGAAAAAGGTATTTGTGTCTCTTGTGTGGTTATTTCGTGCAGCCCAGTTAGCCCAGTTTAACTAGAGTAACCCCTGAGCCTTTTAGTCACGAAAACAGAAACCCAGCATGTATTAACTCATTTAATTCTCACAATAATCCTACAAGGTAGTTATTAGCCTCATTAAACAGCTGAAGAAATTGAAATACAGAGAGTCTTACACAGTTTGCTTAGGGGGTCATATGGCTATCACATGGTAAAAGATGGGATTCAAACCAAGGCAATCCAGTTCCAGTTCAATGCCCTTAACCAGTACAGTACCTTGCTTCTCTAAGAACAAGTGAGTGTTTTTAAAACTCTGGTAGAATGTTCTAACCTTTCAGTTAAATATGCAGATTATTCATCCCATCCTCCACAACTACTGATCTAGAATCTCTGACATTTGAAGTTTAGGAATCAGCATTTACCTAACCCTCAAAGTAGTGTATACACAATATAAAGTATGAAACTCACTGATTTAGGTGGATAAAATGAAAATTCAATGAAGAGTCCAAGAAGCGAAATGTAACAAATTAGAATGTAGAAATGAATCCTTAAGAGAGATTAGCCTTTGCTAGTGGCATATATGAAATGAGCAGAATGTCTATATGCAATACTTAGCAAAGGAAAGCCAAGGTCTTTGATGCAGTCTCATAAAAAATGTTTAAAACACTGCCTATTTAAATCTTTTCTTTCCCCTCCCCCTAACAGTGAAAACAAAAATTCATTGGCAGGGATGGGGGAGTGGTGAAGACACTCCCATTCCCACTGTCTTGACAAGGTCACAGTGAGGATAAGTGCTGGCAAAGCCACACTGGTGGGAAACCGAAACCATGAGACCCTTTTTTGTGTAATTGGACTTTTTACTTTCATGCTCATATTCCTTACAGGAAGCATGAATATGCTTATTGATAAACCAAATTAAATTTCAGATGGCTAGAATATAACAGGTAGTTCATGCCTTGAACTACTTCTCAGCATATTAAGGACAAAATAGAAGGCTGTTCTACTATCTCAGTACATTTAGGACAAAACTGACAATTAACAATCATTCTCCGAAAGGTCATGAGAATTTTAGGCACCACACTGAATATCAACTAGGAACCCAGGCCCATATCTCTGGGCCTCTAGAAAGCCTAATTATTATGCTTATTGCACAAAGCCCACCATATGTAGTTTTATTTGATTACGGGAAAGTTATGTTATACACTTAGGAAACCTAAGGCAAATAAAGATACATTCCCCCTTTTCTATAAATCCTCTTTACTTCATATAGGGACTTATGATAAGCATAGTTAATATTGGTGGTAAGTGGACTGATGTTCAGAACTTGCCTTTCAGTGAGAGAGATTACAAAGATATAAGAACTAGTGTACCTTGACTAAGAAAAAAAGAAACTCTTTGAGAAAGTAGCTCAACCAGTTTTTTGAATAAATGTAGGAATTAATTAAAGTAGCTTTATAAGACACATTTTTAGAAAAATGTTAGAAATATTATTTTATTTAGATTCTTAAGTTTAGAATTCTTAAATTTTTAGCTGTATGGGTCCTTAAGATGCTTTGAGAATAGTTTATAGACTTTAGGATATTTTAAGTATAAGATTTAAGGGGACTTCTTTAAATGAGGATCTTATATTAGAAATAAATACAAGTGTACTTTAAACTTAAAGATTAATGATAGGTTGGGAGACTTAGAGTCTGGTTACATAGTTTGGCATCTGTCAATAAGAAAATATAGTACATCTTGGGAAAATCTGAAAAAATGCAAATTAGTGACACATTTTATTAATGATTTTGTACTCATAATGATTGTTAAGGAAATATCACATCCTGGGAAAATGTAAATTGATGACACATTTTTCTATACCCATATGATTGCAAAGGGAATGTCACATCTCGGGGAAAATCTGGAAATTGTAAAAATCAATGATGTATTCTATTAATAATTCTGCATTCATAATGATGAGAAAAATTGTAATAAAAGATGACCCAGAGAAAGCTGCATTACAGCTCTCTCTCTCTCTCTCTCTCTGGAGATTGCTCCAAGAAAACGATTCCTGTCTCATGCCTTGCGCCAATGCCACTCATCCTTCAGGACCCCTTGGACCCCGCTGGGGCAGGACCCCGGCAGGAAAGGAGGAGGAGTCAGCACTGGATGAAGCAATGTTTTTATTCTTAAATATTAAGTCCTACTTTAAAAAAAGATATTTATACATTTATATGGTACAATACCCTGATGCTAAAACCTTATAAGGAACTTAATATCCTTTCCTGTAAAGCCCACAAAATTAGTCTGATAGTTTTTAATAAGGCAGGATATAAAACCTACAAACATTTAAAGTATAGTTTACATTTACCATCCACCTTTAAACTATTCAAAAAGGTATGACTTTATTTGGGCGGGTGAGAGTTTAGTTCATTAGAAATGAGCAAAAAAAAGAAAAGAAAATTCGAACAAAACCCGATTCTTGAAGCATTTGAGTTCTTCCCAAATGACCCCGTATTAACTCAGTTGGCCAATGAATAAAGAGGGTGAAAAGGCAGGGAGGTGGAACTAAACCTTATCCCTATTGTTAGGAAACTAAGACCCAGCGAATCATCTCGGTTACTCTGACCAACTTAAAAGAGCAAGAGTCTCGGATTTTTGCGGTACACGAAAAATGTCAACCGTGAAAGAAAAATATCCGGGTTTCAAATACAAAGGAGACTCGGGTTTCAGTTTAAATCCCCACCAGGCATTTCGAAGACTGTCACTTCCCTGCGGTCCAGGGTAATACAGAACGCTGGGAGTACCCTCTTAAGGGGAACTCGGAGCCACAGAGCATCTCTTCGTTTTAAAGCTGCCCCCGACCTTCCATCTTTAATAAAGGGTAGTTCTTTTACCTGTGGTATCGCTTTCGCTATGACATTCACGTCCTGAGAAAGCTGCAGAATTGATGGAAACGCTAAATTGCGATTACGAAAGAGTCACCCAGACAGCGTATAAACAAGTCTTGATGTCAGGGGCCGGCCAGGCCTCCAAATCCTCAATGTTCAGGGTTGGCTGGGTGTGCGCAACCGTCGGGAGCCTTGGCCAGGGTGACTCTCCCCACCCCGCGCCCCGACTTCTCGTGGTCTGCACACCTGGTCCTTGCAGACACCCGCAAAGGTACTCCAAAGCCCCCGCTACGCAGTCGGCCTCCCGACCCAGCTCTCCCATCCGATGGCCCCGCTTCTCTCCCTGGAATACTCAGTTCTTCCCGTTCCCCATCTACTCACAGAGGCTCGCGGAGCATAAGTTCCAGGGTGGCCGCGTCACTTTTCCCTTCTCGCGCAGCACTTCTGCAAGCCACCAGCGACCAGCCCCCTCCAACGGCCCGTAGGATTCAAATTCTCTCACTTCCGCCCGCAACCCGGAAGGAGCGGTCGGCCCCGCCCCCAAGGGCCGAACCCGCGGGGCGCGGGCTGTGGGGTAGGGGCTCTTGCACCCCGGCTGTGTTGCTGGGTGCTGGTTCCGGTAGCCTTTCCGTTTACGGCTTGTTGTTGGCTTTTTCCAGTCTCTCTTCTTTTCAGGTTCTCAGAGAGGGCCGGGCGGTTGCTTCTGCCTGGTGACTCTTGAGCTGCTTGTTTCTAAAATGGGTGCAAACGTGCTAAAGTTTCTTCATCTTCAAGGAATAGGGAAAATGGGAGCCCTACTGCGCCGGGAGGTTTTTACCCCGCCCCTCGCCCTGGCATAAACAGGAGCAGCGACAGCCAGAGGAAAAAGGCAAACCTCCACGTACTCTGCACAGGTTTCCTTCGCCCTCCGGAACCGCGCCCGACAGCACCTCTAAACGCTTTCCATCCACCTCTTGAGGAAGACAAAAGGACAAGTTTGCCAGTCACCCCTCACCCGGCCACAAATTGAAAATAAGAGGTCAGAGCGGTTCCCGGTTCCAAACAAAATATTTGAGAATAAATATTAGAAAGCAATAACTGTCCTCACCCCTTATAAAGGATCATTTTGCAAGACTATTATGTACCGTTCTGTAAGGTTCTTGGGACAGCAGTGTCTTATTTTTTAAACAAAGAACTGCATATTTTTTGATCCTAAAGGTCTTAAGCTTCTGAAGGGCTACGTCTGGGAGCTTTAAGAAACTAAAGAAAGAATTGAACATGCCTTTAGGGGGCGGGGTGGGAGAAAGAAACTTAACTCTAACCTTTGGGGTCCTGATTGATGGTGCCACCAGAGGGATGGTACTCACAGTTAATGGCGTTGATTTACCTAAACTGATGAGTTCAGACTGAGCCATGGCAGCAACATTTCTGTCTCTGTCAAAAATCCAATTTGAAAGATTTGCTAGATTTTTAGGAATTTATCTTACAGATAATCTGACACAAGGAAGTATAAAGGTATTTATTGTATTGTTTTTAGCAATGGAAAGTAAATAATCTGTGTCCACCAATAAGGAAATGGTTAAAGAAATAGTTAAGTAAGTTATATGTTAGGATTTGGCATACATTGCAGGCACTAAAAGTAACGATGAGTAGCTATTCAAATACTGGAAAAAGCGAGTTTTAGAATGACTACAGTATCCTATAAATATATATCAGCATAAAAAATTTCAGGATAGATGCATAAAAAGTGTGAACAATTATTTACAGGAGTGGCAAATAGGGGTGGTAAGAGATGGAGCTTTTTTACTTTTCACTTTATAACCAGTCGAATGTTTTACTTTTGCAATTTTGTTTTAAAATAAGATTGTTAGAAATTGAGTTTATTCTGGATACAGAATTTGATTTAATAAATGTATAAATTATAATGTTTGGATAGTCTGCGTTCATTTATCAATTCCTTCAAGATTGGACCACACATTTCATCATTCATGACATGTTGTATTATTCAATGTTCCACATTTCTAATATGTCCCCATTAAACATATAACTTCTTGAAGTTGCTCAAAGACAAACTAAATCTTATTTTCCTGTCTTTCATAATTCTTGGTACCTTCCCACCATTAAAGTTTCATAGTTCACAGGAATTAAATTCTCAAGTTGACCTGCAAGTAAAGTTAAATATTCTTAAATTGCCCTTGAAAAGTCCCAACAAAAATCACAAAATATTATATATTATATTGTATGTAATGACAATTATATAATTATTGTCTTTATATAACTATAGGCAAGATTCTAAAAATCATTGTTTCCTGTGTTCAATCCTTCCCTAGGACCTTTAATGAATTCTTCAGTCTCTTCCACTAAAATGTTGATAAAGTTACCATCACCCAGCCAGCCTAGCTATCAGTCAGGCTGAGTTTAATTTCTTACCAACATTGAAGGACCCTATGTAGAGTCAATCATGTATATTTTAAAAAATATATTTTTAGTTATAGATGGACCTTTATTTTGTTTATTTAGTTTTATGTGGTGCTGGGGATTGAACCCAGGGCCTCACACACACTAGGCAAGTGCTCTACCACTGAGCTACAACCCCAGCCTTCATTTGTATATATTTTCCCCCTAAGATTATCCAGGCTTAATTGTATAAATTGCCTATAACACGCATGCATTGAGTAGCATTTCCAGTTATTTACACTATTTAAGCTTTTCTTTCTTCCCATCAGAGTTTAGTATAGGTAATTATAATAAGTAATGCTACAACATTTCATGAACAAAATAAAATCTTCAGTAAATATCCACTGACTAACTAAAGAGCTGGAGGAAACAGACTTACTTTTTATTTTTATTTTTTGGTACTGAGGATTAAACCCAGGGACATTTTAGCCCTGAGCTACATCCCCATTCGTAAGTTTTGATTTGCTTAGGGCCTCATAAGTTGCTGAGGCTGATCTCAAATTTGCTATCCTCCTGCCTCAGCCTCCCAAGTTGCTGGGATTATTTATGGGTGTGTTCCACTGGGCCTGGCCAGACTTACACATTTTTCTTAAA